TTGCGCACCGTTAACGCACCGCACGCGTCGAGTAAAGTTGTTACTGAAGAGCTATTCTGAAACATTTCAAATTTTTCCACAACGTTTACTTTTCACCCACCCCGGAACCCCTCCCCTTGTTAAAGAATACATTCCCTATCACTATTAAGAGGCCATATCCGCGCTCTGGGTACTCTGCCGCCTAGGTCAGAGACGCAGAGCAACTAGACGGAAGGGCGCTGGCACCCCCAACTACATTTTCACCAGAAAGTGCTGCTACAACAAACGTGGTAGGTCGGAGGGATTTGCCCTTTCGATCTGGCAGAGCTACAGTCCCAGGACAGCGTTTTGAGACCTGATCCCCAAATGCCGCGCATCTTGATTGCTCCTCTGCTAGCTAGCGATTCAAACCTTGCGTTGCTTTACTTGTGCCGTTGTAGACGATGATGCATAAAAACAAAACAACTATGGAAAAAACGCTTTCCAAATCTTTATATTTGGTGAAACTTCGCGGGATTTTGTATGAGCCAAGGCGAGTTTCCTTCATAATATTGGTTATTCAGAAACTACACTAAAGAATCAAGATTTTTTGACTGACCTTAACCCACCTTTACTTATGCATAGGCTTTGGCTTTTCCGACTTTTCTGTGAAGCACTCTTTTTGTGATAAATTTTAACACCTTAAGAACTATGGTGTTAATAGTTTTTTGTGCAGATGCGGTGAACCGAACTGCTTCCACGAGTGGTTCCAAAATTGCGATCATAACAGCAATCCAGTTAAACAGCATATTGAGGTAATAAATGTATGTTATTCAGCGATTCTTGTAAGGTTGTCTTTTATGCTTTTGCAAGAGTATTAGCCTAATGAAGGAGATAGTACGTTTATGCTATCGTGCTTCAATGAATAAACGGTTGGTTTCTCCCGTAAAGTTAGGTAATTAGAAAACTCAACCTTCGAGTGCACAGAAAATGTGAAATCTCTGGCTTTTGAGATACTACTATTTTTTCCTCTATTCTAAAGCTGTGCAAACTCTGAAATAGTAGGAATCGGTTTTCTCTTATTATCCATCACCACTGTAAGTTCATCACGACAAATGTTTTGAAAGAGTCCGTTGCAATTTTGTGAACTGCTCAGGTGACGTATTTTCTTTTAGTTGTTGATATCCTGTGGTGTTCTTTTAAACACCTCTTCTTAAACAGTTCTCTTTTTTTTCAACTTTCGTAACTGATCTAAGTAACCGTAAGAGTTGTCGCCATCAATTACAAGCCTTGTAGTGTTCTTGTGGATACCACACAACACAACACATAGGGCGCTTCTTAGTACTCGCTTTGAATAGGGAGATATAAACCCTACGGTCTGGATATAAGCCTTGGTGAAAACGTAGTGTGGGAGGTGGGCGAGTCCACCGCTCTTCTCCAACATTGTGCGCTAGTGCTCATAGAGGGAGTTACAGAAAACTTCGCGAGTCCAACACTCAGGAAGGTTCCTTACATGAGAACATATAGTTTTTTTTTTCAACCTAAGCCTTGGCAGAGAAAGGGTGCCGAAGTGGGTGAGACAACGAAATGTCCAAATTTGACCCCATCCAGGCTTCTTGCACGAGGTAATCATCTCTTCCACCCCGGGCAAGGCCAGCTACCCTCCGATAGGAGCGCCTTCTTTCCCCAACTCCGAACTACATTTTTACTCAGGCTCCCAACCTCGCTTTTGAAATTACGAGAGTTTGTTGCAAACGAAAAGCTGCAATGAACCGTTTCATCTGTAGTAAATTCGCAGTTGAAAATTCTTGGAAACTTTAATCGAAGGAATACGCTTTTGAAATGACTACATCAGAGATGAAGTGCTATATGTTTCTTTTTAATTGGAAGGAGCCAAGACTTCCAGGTCTATGCATGCTATTTTAGCTTTTTGACATTGTCTACCCAGCTGTTCGCAATACGATAGGGGTTAATATGGCTGGTGCAGCCGACCGCAGGATATTACAACGTGCCTATCGGGTCTACTGCCATTTGATCCTCACAAAAATCGTCATGGGCAATCAGGACACTGGTACCCATATCATCATTGACTTTTATATAACCCTTAGGCTCTTTTCGAAAAGCCGTTCTTTTTTAGAAGTAGAACTTTCTACTTTGAAGTGGTGGATGAAGAGTGCGACAGCTCTGGTGGAAACCCAGTTTCCCAATGTACGAGAGGTCATTTCATTTTACTGTGTGTCCCTTAAGCATCACCTAGACAATTACGCTTTGAACTTTTCAGGTTGAAAGTGCCTTCATTTTCTGTAGTTCGGCGAAATGTGATGAAAACGGCTTCTTCTTCACTACCAATTTCAAAGGTGCTTCCGCCATAGCCAAATTCACCTTCTGCGAAGGTCAAACTCTTCCACACATCTATTCTTTCGCCTTCCTATTATTCAGTTAGGTTGAAGAAGAGTTTTTAGGTATGAATCACGATGAGAAATGGCACGTTTCGGTAACAGCCTGTGGTGTCGTTATGGGTGACAAACATTTAAGAAAACTTGTTGAAGCCGCAATTTATCGTCGAATGTCTTTGTGTGAATTCATCGAAACCCTACTGTGGCCCTTTATGTATCGCCTAAGCATGACCAAGAACGAAAAGTAGAAAAGCGGTATGCCGATCAATCAGTATCTGCTCTGTGAAAACACACATAAGAAGTAGTTACATTTGACCTATTCCTCATGATGTAACGCAGTTTCGCAGCTCCCCTACGAAAACAAGAGATCTTCATCCAATTCGCAGTGAGCACAGCAGAACTAGTGCATCAAAGTGAGGCGGTGTGGTCAAAGTATTGTTTTTTGAGTGGTACTGATTGCATGTTCGTCCTAGGTCGTTTGAGCTGGATAGAGTTGTTTTGGGTACCCTCTAGTGAAACCCTAAAACAACAAGTCTAGTTTTATACTGATTTTCATTTAGTATCATATTATCGACTGATAGATACTTCTATAAATTTGACAAGGTGAAGTGTGATCTCCTTTTCCTTTTGTATTGTTTGTAATGTCGTCGATAAAAAGCGACGTCATGTAGTTTTCGGACTTCTAGCACTCGCTTTTTTTTGTAAAAGATACAGTGCGTTTAAAAGTTTCTAATGATGAATACCTGTGTCAAAACTTGGGAGGAATTTGTGTGATGTTGTAAATAAGGGACCATTTTGTAGGACCGGTAAATTGTTGATGGGGACTAAAATCGGAGTCTGTAGCTTTGATGATAGGATAGTGGGTTTAAGTTAGTAAACTACCATATATCTTCGAGTTAATATGGCTTATTGTTGGCCGCTCGTGGCACAAAGAGAAATAAGATGTGGCAGTAAGGGGATAAACAAAGTAGGAGTCCCTTGTTACTGTGGCAAGTGATGCCCACAGACATACAAAATATGGGGACAATGAATCACATGGCGAAAATAAATCCATCTAGAGATGAAATGAAGAGGGAGAAAAAACCCTCCACGGATTCTCCATTTCTTCAGTTAATCACAAAATGTGATTAATAGAGCATATCCGAGCCGGCCGTTCCGCGCGGTTATGAAAAAAGTGGATGTTGAACATATGCGTGCGAAATCGATAACCATTCTTGAATTAATGACGATGCACAAGGTGGAGCTGGTATCACTTCTACACCATATAAAAGTAATTCGACGCAGTGAGGATGCATTTAGTTCATAAGCAATGTCTGGTACGTGCTCCAATGATAACTGTCGACGAACGAAGATAGTGGTCTTAGCCGCTGTGGTTATCATTGTAGGTTATGTGGCCTACAGTGCCTATGAGGCTAAAAAGGTTTGTGGTTTTGTGAAACGCACATGCTTGTTAAGACTGCAAATGCTCTGCATTTCAGCGTCGAGACCTGAGAAGAAGCAGAGGCTTCTGATGCGCAGAGTTAATGACTGCTCTTTTTTATCTCTTTGAATTTAACTGTTTCTCAGCAAATATCTACCTTTTTTGCCATGCGCTGTTTTCGTTTTTGTGTGGTCCAGACTTTAGTTGTAATGACTGTAACCCATGACAGCATCATAAATAAACCATTCGCACATTCTTTGATCCGATTACTTTTTTTTCATTGATTGGCTTAATATAATCCTGACTCTCAGCCTAGCTTACTCAATGTAATTCAACAGCTTGTGCTCTCCAAAAGCTTGAAATAGGGGGACGGGAGTTATATGCGTACGAGGATGCGCGCCGCAACTTGCGCGGCGAAGTTCCTGACGATTTGTACGACCCTGACGCCAATTTTTGGGGCACAAACTCGAAGTAGAGTAGTTTGCTAAGGCCAGATGATACTACTGATCTAGTCTAGTTGTAATTTGAGGCTCAATGATAGGCGCTAAAGTCGTTCTAATCGTTACGAACTTCGCCGCGCAATTTGCCGCGCGCATCCTCGGACGCAATTAAGCCCACATACCCCCTTGGAAGATTATGTGTTACTGTTCAAGTGTGCAATGAAGAATCTTGAAGCCACAAGCTTGCTGAATCGAGGATTCTGCTACTCCTATAGTTGCGAATTAATGGCACAGCTCAAGGTGGAAAAGGTTTCCAACATTACTTCCTGGGATGAACCTGTGGCCCCAAAGTATAGGGCGAGCGACGCTGTCGTGTCGGGATCAGCCTAGATAGGACTCAATCAGGGTCCCGAACCGGCTTAGCCGACGCACGCGCTCAAGGGCGTGTGAGTTCTCACAGCGTCGTAGAGGCTGTTGAGATGCACCATTCGTACAGGGACCCACATTTCGCACGCAGGCAGCTTACCGTCGCCTGCTGTACAAAGAGGCTTACACATTTGACAGCTCGACTAAATATTCTTTTTATGCGAACTTAGATCTTCCTGAAGGCACTGTTCACGATAATTTTGGGTAGCCCAGATTATGACGAAAAATGGAAGATAAGATGGAAAGTAGTGCGATAATGGCGAAGAAACTGCGTGAATCGGTGCTTCCGAAGTGAAAAAAGACTATCTCCATGTTCGCCTTTCTTGAAACCTGGGCATTTTTACTGTTATTA